TCAAATTCTTGATTCATATTGGATCATGGTGACTACTACGCAATTGCAGATTCTTCAATCTCCTATTACCTCTCTCATCTCATCAGTTTCATCCTCTATTTCTGTGAAACTTGATGATTCCAATTACCTCACATGGCATTTTCAGATGGAGCTTCTTCTCAAAGGCCATGGTATTATGGGGTTTGTGGATGGTACAAACCCTTGTCCTGCGAACCATAGCGATTCAACTGAGTCTTCCAGTGATTTGCATAACAATGATGCTTTTAAGATTTGGAAAATGCATGATCAGGCTCTCATGCAACTCATCACGGCCACATTATCTCCTACTGCGATTTCATGTGCCATCGGTAGCACTAGTGCTCGAGACTTATGGGTGCGTCTTAAAGAACAATTTTCCATTGTTACTCGGGCCATAATCCTTCAGATGAAATCTGAGTTGCAGAATATCAAGAAAGGTACATATTCTATTTCCTTATATCTTCAACGAATTAAAGAAGCTTGTGATTACTTGGCTGGGACTGGAGTTCTATTTGCTGATGATGATATTGTGATTTTAACTCTTAATGGTCTGTCTTCTGAATACAATACATTGAGGTCTATTATTAGAGGTAGGGAGAATGTTATCTCTATGAAGGATCTTCGCTCACAATTGGTTGCTGAGGAAGCAATGCTTGCTAATGTTTCTGTTACTCCTTTCCTATCTGCAATGGTAGCTAGCAATTTGTCTGCTTCATCTAAGCCTCCTCACTTTGAGTCCAATTCGCCTCGTCCTAATTACTCCAGCAATGGTTCTTCCTCAATTGGCGGTTCATATAGTTCTCAGGGCAGTTTTTATCAGTCCAATGGGTCTGGTTCTAAACCTACTTACAACAACAACAAGGGTAAAGGCAAGTATCACTACAATTCCCGGTTTGGTAATGAAAAGCCTGGTTCTTTTCATAACAATGCTCCTGGTATTCTTGGAACCTCTCCACTAAAGGCACAAGGATTTTTCCAGACTTCATGTCAAATTTGTGAAAAATTTGGACATCTAGCTGTTACTTGCCGGTTTCGAAATACTGAGACCTCTATTTCCGAAGGCTGTCAAATCTGTGGCAAAAGGAATCACAATGCTCCTTTCTGTCATTTTCGAAATGCCAACCTCCAAACTCAGCAAGTATCAGCTATGCATGTTGCTGCTCCATCCTCTGTTCCCAGTGCTCCTCCTCAACAAATTTGGCTCACAGATTTTGGGGCTACATCTCACATGACTGCTGACCTTAATCAGTTGTCATTGGCTTCTCTATTCCTTCCAATGAGACAATTCAAACTGCGGGTGATGGTGCAGGTTTATCAATCTCCCACATTGGTTCATCAATTTTACATACACCTTTCAAACCACTGCATCTTAATTCAGTTCTATATGTGCCTAAACTAACTCAGAATTTGTTATCCGTGCATAAATTGTGTCTGGATAATAACTGCTGGTTAATATATAATGCTTTCTGTTTTTGGATCCAGGACAAAGCCACAGGAAGGATCCTCTTCAAGGGACATTGCAGTAATGGATTATACCCTATTCCCCTACCAATTTCATATCATTCTTCCTTACCCAGATTACAAGCTGCTTTCCTTGGACAACATGTATCTTCGAGTCTATGGCATAGTAGATTAGGCCACCCATCCAATTCTATAGTATCTACAATTTTAAGAAAATGCAATGTATCTGATATACCTGATCATAAGTCTGAGATGTGTCATTCTTGTCTAGAAGGGAAATTTTGTAAATTGCCATTTGTTGACTCTGTCTCTAAATCCATACATCCTTTTGATATTGTTCATAGTGATGTATGGGGTCATTCTCCTTGTAATTCTGTGGAGGGTTTCGATACTATGTGACATTCATTGATGAATGCACTAGACATTGTTGGCTCTTTCCTCTCTTCAATAAAAGTGATGTTTGTTCACTTTCATTGCCTTTTACAATTTTGTGTTAAATCACTTTGCTCTTTCTGTTAAAACCTTACAAAGTGATAGGGGAGGTGAATATATTAGCAAGTCCTTTCAACAGTTTCTTGTGACCAAGGGTATTAAACACCAACTTTCATGTCCATACACCCCTGAACAAAATGGCCTAGCTGAAATGAAGCATAGGCATATTGTTGAAACAGCTATAACCCTTTTGCAAACTGCCTCATTGCCTCCAAAATTCTGGTCCTTTGCATGCCAAGTTGATGTCTACCTTATTAACAGAATGCCAACACCTGTTTTACACAACAAATCTCCATTTGAGTTGTTGTTTAAAGATGTACCAGCTATCAATCATCTTCGGGTATTTGGTTGTTCTTGTTTCCCACTGTTAAAACCTTACAATAACACCAAGTTGCAACCTAAAACAACAAAATGTGTCTTTTTAGGTTATGCTTCTAGATACAAAGGCTACCTATGCTATGAAGTGAGTCAACAAAAGTTGTATATATCTAGGCATGTTATTTTTTATGAGAGTGAATTTCCTTATGCCATGTTGTCTTCCAAAATCTCAAATTCCTCATTTGTTCCTCCTTCTATTTTGTCATCCTCTATTTCAATGCCTTATGTCACACATGATAATCAGGTTGTCTCCATCTCATCTGTATCTGACTTACCTATACTTGAGTCTCTTCCTAACCCACCATACCCTGAATTCATTACTGCAACACCAACACAGTTTATTCTACCTTATTCCCCTGTGGCTGCAGAATTGTCCTCTGGATCTAATCATCATGATCACACTGAGTTTTCTTCCGAGTTTCAACCTGAGAGTTTGCAAGTGGTTCATTCTCTCCACCCTATGAATACTCATACCATGTAGACAAGATCCAAAAGTGGCATCTTCAAGCCTAAAGTTTTTCTCTCAACAATTGGAGAGGACAATCCTATTGATTTAACTCAGGTGGAACCTTCAACATACAAGTCCGCTCTTAAATCCTCAGTATGGAGTGCAGCTATGAAAGAAGAGCTATCAGCTTTACATTATCAAGGAACTTGGTCCTTAGTTCATCTTCCTGCAAACAAGAATTTGGTAGGGTGTAAGTGGGTCTTCAAGATTAAAAGAGATGCAGATGGGAACATTTCTCGATATAAGGCAAGACTTGTTGCCAAAGGTTTCAATCAAGAAGAGGGTATTGACTATGAGGAGACTTTTAGTCAGGTTGTTAAACCTACAACTGTGAGGTTAGTTTTGGCTTTAGCTGCACAGTTTGGTTGGTCTTTAAGGCACAGTTTTGTTAACTCTCAACAACCCTCTCATGTTTGTAAGTTACATAAATCCCTATATGGCTTGAAACAAGCCCCAATGGCTTGGAATGAGAGGTTTACCAATTTTTTGCCTTCTCTGGGTTTTCTTACAACGTATTCAGACTCCTCCTTGTTTGTGAAACATGTTGGACATTCCGTGGTCATTCTCTTGCTATATGTGGATGATATAATCATCACATGCAGTGCTACTGCAGCTATTACTGATGTTATACAGGCTTTAGCTCAAGAATTTGATATTAAAGATTTGGGACCCCTCCATTACTTCTTAGGGATCCAAATTACTCATCATTCTACTGGATTATTCCTTTCACAGTCTAAGTATGTTTCAGATTTGCTTTACAAGACTGATATGGGTCTTTCAAAACCATGTAATACCCATTGTCTACCTTATACCAGGTTACTTAAAGATGATGGAAAACCCTTTCATGATCCCGCATTGTATCGAAGCGTGGTGGGTGCTCTGCAATATCTTACATTTACAAGACCCTACATTGCTTTCTCTGTGCATCAAGTGTGTCAGTCTATGCATTGTCCCATGGAATCTCATTTTATAGCTGTGAAGAGAATCCTCAGATATCTAAAAGGCACAATGGATTATGGTGTTCAACTAAGCAAAGGGGATTTATGTTTAACTGCATTTAGTGATGCTGACTGGGCTGGGGATCCAAATGACAGACGGTCTACTACAGGTTTGGTGGTCTATTTAAGGTCTAGTCCCATCTCTTGGTCATCCAAGAAACAAAATATCGTTTCTAAGTTCTCAACTGAAGCTGAGTACCGAGCACTTTCATCCACAGCTGCAGAGATTGACTGAATCACTCAACTTCTGAAGTTTATTCGGATTGATGTATCATGTCCAGTTACTCTTTTCTGTGGCAATCTTTCTACTATAACCTTGGCTTATAATCCAGTTATGCACCAACGGACAAAGCACATTGAAGTTGATATTCATTTTGTTCGAGAAAGGGTTGCCAAGAGGTTACTTCAACTTCAGTTTGTTTCTTCCAATGAACAATTTGCTGATATTCTTACCAAGGGATTGTCTACTCCATTATTTCGGACACATTGTTACAATCTCAGGTTGAGCAAACCTCATCCTGTGATTGCGGGGGGATGATAACAATATACAAAGCAAGCTTAACAACTTGTGATCGTGTGGTTGTAATAGTGACAAGTGTAGTCATCATGCAATCTTTGTAATAGCTTAGAAAGTAAGCAATCTAGTTAGATATATACTCTACATAACCATCATTGTAAATAACTGAAAAAGTCAAGAAATAGAAAATATCTTCTCTGTCTAAAAATTCTCTTTCTCTCTCTTCATATACATATTTCTTCTTCTGCAAGAATACTTATTCTCTATATTTGTTAGTATCTTCACAAAACTGTCGATAGAGTACAATCATAAAAATCTACAAAGTACAATAGAGTTCGGAAAAGAGTGAAACCTTTTGCACCAAATTGGGAGCTATTGAAAACCTGAGTAATCAAGTGTTCGTACTCTAATGCTCATATAACATGCCGATCTCTGGTGGTAGAAGCTGGTGTCTGCAGCATGGAGAAAACTTATTCAACGAGCTTTTGCATAAATAGTAAATAGGGAACCATAAATTTTGAATGAGTTCCAAAAACAGGAGTCACCTAAGTAGCTGTTTAACCAGGCCAATTGCAGATATGGCTACGGAAATGTCAAAGTCGCCGGCAAGACCAATCTGTTGACTTGAAAATCTTCTAGTGAATCGACCACGATTTGGAGCATTATCATCAACCTCATAAAGATTTTTCAATGCGTGGACAGAAGCTTTTCTTACACCAGCACTCTTAGAAGCAGAAAATGAGGAAAATAAATGAGGTTTGTCCAGAACGAGTATAAAGGAAAACAGCTTAAGCCGTATCAAGAATCTTAAACTTACATTTGTTAGAGTAAATATAGAAATATAGAGAATAATCCGAATGATGACTTTGAGGTACGACATGAATCATTTCCTTAAAGTGTTATTTGCCCCCACTCGAATGAGTTTGCTAAAGGGTTCTTGGCAAATCACTTCCAAGATACAACAAAGTATGGAATATTCGATTAGCAAAACCGAATTATATTCCCTTAGAAATAACTAGAAAGAAATTGTATGAATGTGATGAAGAGAGAAAATAGAGCAAGGAAATTATGTAGACAACAAATTTCTGAATTAATGAATTCTCTTCTACTAATGTTACCCATATATATATAGAGAATTGCACCTTTTAGACATATCCTTTGGTTTTGAGTGTGTCCTCTCACCATGAGATACAACTAAACATTGCAACAATGTTTATGATAGATATGTCTGATACAAGAGGTTCTGTTAGAAAGAGAATGCATCTGTTCGGATGCATCATGCTTTTTCCGTGAAACCGTAAAAGGTGCAGCAGTTTTCAATCTCCAAAGAATGTGATTGTTGGGTGACTGACCCAACTCCATCTTCTGACAAACAACCACACTCATATATATATATATATTATATTCTTAAAATATTCAACAATCCTTCCCTATTTTAAGAATATATAATAAATGGTATTACAATACTTCTCTCTTTTAAATTAATCACAAGCATACCGATATAATCATGCATACAATAAATGTGTCTTTCAAATTACACATTTAATTAGTGTAAGTAATTCAAAGTTATAACGAATGCGATGGTGACCTAAGTTTAAACCACATATTCTTATGTTAAAACCGGAATCACCACACACATGATTATGTCTTATTTCCTTTAAGAAATTTCTGAACTAATTAAGCACTATTATGGCCTTGTGCTTCATCCTGGTTTCATGAACATTTACAAGAGAAAACCCAACTCTTGGTAGAAGCGGCACCACTTCTTATGTTCATATAGGTGAGGTTCCTTCCCATGTCCCTGCTACTATAGACATAACTACAAATAACCTCATTAAGAGATAAAACTCATCCTCCTAAACGTAGCAGTCTTGCACTGATCATTCTGGAATGAGCTATATATTAATTTTCAATGCTTTCACAACCACTTAACAATAACTTGTTATTACCATTAAACTTTTAAACTAGTGATGTTCTACAGAAAGTTGGGTTACCATTATTGGTGGCTAATTTTCAGTAAAGGGTTTTAGCCCCATTCCACTAGATGTACTAACTACCAAAGCTCTTGAAAGTGCTTTCGTTAACAAATCCTCCAAGTTATTACTTGATTTAACATAAACAATATTAATAACTCCATCAGTTATTAATTGCTTGACATATTCATGTCTCAAGCTAATATGTCTAGATTTTCCATTGTATACCTTATTGTATGCTCTGGACAAAGTAGCTTCACTATCACAGTATAAAGAAATAGATGACATTGGTTATGGCCACAACTCTATTTCCAATAACAAATTTCTAATCCATTCCGCTTCTTTACCTGCTGCTGCTAATGCTATAAATTCAGATTCCATAGTTGAATGTGCTATACATGTTTGCTTCTTCGAAGCCCAAGAAATTGCTCCTCCGACAATTGTAAAAATCCACCCTGATGTAGATTTATTATCATTAGCACTTGTTATCCAACTTGCATCTAAATATCCTTCAAGTACTGCTGGAAACTCAGAGTAAGTTAAACTCAGGTTAATAGTTTTTTTAAGATAACAAAAAATTCTATTTATTGCTTTCCAATGAGCAGTACTTGGATGACTAGTGTATCTAGAATGTTTGCTTACTACAAATGCGATATCTGACCTGGTACAATGCATGGCATACATTAAACTTCCGATTACACTAGCATACTCAAGCTGTGAAACAGACCTACCATAATTATTAAGCAAAGTCTCATTAGGGTCATAAGGGGTATTTGCTTCTTTTATTTGTATATGCTTAAACTTAAGAAGCAATTTTTCTATATAATGTGACTGACACAAAACGTAACCCCCACTATGCTTCTTTACTTTAATTCCCAAGATAGTATCTACTTCATTCAAGTCATTCATCTTGAATTTTGAATTTAGATACTCTTTAGTTTTAGATACACCTTTCATGTTTGTACCAAAAATTAGCAAGTCGTCGACATATAAACATATAACAACACCATAATCATTTGTGAATTTAGAGTATATGCATTTATCAGCATTGTTATGTCTAAATCCATATGATAAAATGACAAAATCAAACTTTTCATGCCATTGTTTTGGTGCTTGCTTTAATCCATATAATGAATTTACTAATTTACAAACATTCTTTTCAATCCCAGGGAGAACAAACCCTTCTGGTTGTTCCATATAGACTTCTTCATCTAAATCACCATTTAAAAATGCCGTTTTCACATCCATTTGATGCACATGCAAATTATATAAAGATGGCAATGCAAACAATATTCTAATTGATGTGAGCCTAGCTACTGGTGCATATGTATCGAAATAGTCTATTCCCTTTTTTTGCTTAAAACCTTTGGCAACTAGCCTGGCTTTAAATGTCTGAATAAACCCGTTTGTATTGTATTTTCTTCTAAATACCCACTTACAACCTATTGTTTTTTATCATTGGGGCAAGTCTACTAAAACCCATATCTGATTAGATATTAATGATTCAAATTCATCATCTATAGCCTCTTTCCAAAAGGCTGCATCTCTTGAAGTCAATGCTTCGCTTAGACTTTTAGGATCATCCTCAACATTCAACAATATGGGTATTTTCTTAAGAACATTTGTTCTATTTCCTTCGACTAAAAATACAATAGATTGAGATGAAATAAAATCAGAGCCTAGAGTCTTTTCTTTTCTTACCCTTTGGCTTTTCCTTGGTTCATTAACAGTTTCATACTGTTTTCTTTTCTCACCTTGAGATTGACTAGTAGACGGATTAGAGAAATGTGTTTCATCATTCTCTTTTCCAGACACTGAGTAGTCATTATAGAATTTATTTTCTATAAATTCGACATCTCTAGACTCAACTATTGTGTTCGAGTCTAAATTAAGCAACCTATATGCCTTTGAATTTTCTACATAATCTACAAATATGCTTTTAATTCCTCTTGGACCCAACTTGGATCTCTTAGGATCGAGTGCCTTATAAAAAGCTACACAACCCCATACTCTCAAATATGACAAATTTGGTTTTCTTCCTTTCCAAATTTCATATGATGACACATATGTCTTCATAGATATAATTCTATTATGTATATGGCATGCATTAAACAATGCTTCACCCCATAAATATTTTGGAGTATTAGCATTAATCGTCATAGAATTAATCATTTCGGTGAGTGTCCTATTTTTTCTTTCTGCCAAACCATTTTGTTGTGGTGTATAGGGTGTAGTTCTTTGATGTACAACACCATGCTCTTCACAAAAATTATCAAATTCAAGTGAAAAATATTCACCACTTCTATCACTACGAAGGCATTTAATTTTCCTTCCCTTTTGGTTTTCAACTTTAGCCTTATAGCACTTAAAACACTCAAAAGCTTCATCTTTATTAGACAATAAATAAACATAAGTAAACTTAAAACAATCATCTATAAATGTGATAAAATATCTTTTTCCTCCTCTTGTTAAAACATCATTAAATTCACATATGTCAGAATGTATTAAGTCTAATAAATTTGTATTTCTTTCGGTAGTTGGAAAAGGTTTCGTAGTCATTTTCGCTTGAATACATGTTTCACATTTATCATTATAATCATCATTACAAGCAATTAAACCAAGTGTGTGCATGTATTTTAAAGATCTAAAATTTATATGTGCTAAACGTAAATGCCATAAATGAGAGGAAGATTCAACAATATAAGCAGAAGAATTCACTTTATTATTAATACTTAGTTTGAACATCCCATCACAAGAATACCCATTCCCAACAAACATCCCATATTTCGACATTATTAACTTGTCGGACTCTAGAACAGTCTTTATACCGTTCTTACATAATAAATTTACAGACACAAGATTCTTTCTAATTTCTGGAACATGCAGTACGTTAAGCAACGTCAATTTCTTCCCAAAAGTAAATTGAAGTTCAACGGTTCCTTTTCCTAGAACTTTGGCGGAATTATGATTCCCCATTAAAACTTCTAGATTGTCCATTGATGCTTCATATGTCTTGAATTGTGTCTTGTCATTGCACACATGTATAGTAGCCCCTGAGTCGAGCCACTAATCGGAGGATTTTATTGCCGCTGCCATATTCAGTTCGGTAATCATGCCAATATGCATCATTGATACCATTGCAACAATGTTATCAATTCAGTTTTCCACCATATTTGCGCTATTGGTCTTATTGTCATATTCCTCACTTGCTTTTCTGTGTCTACAATCATGAATGTAATGGTCTTTCTTTCCATAATGGTAACATACACCATTTGCATTCTTTTGATTGTTGTTGGAATTGGTCTTCTTAAACTTCCCTTTCTCAATTTTGACTTTGAAGTTCTTTTTATATATGTTTCCTTCGACAATGTGAACTTTAGAGAAATCTTGATTTGCAAAATTCTTATCACGATTTCGAGTTTCCTCTTCAATTACCCTTTTGCAAATTCTCCAAACTAATATCTTCCACCATGTGTAGAAGTTTCTTTCTATAGTTATTCCATGTTTGGGGTAATTTTGTCATAATAGCCCCAACTATCATAGGATCTGGAATAACTATTTTAAGTTCACGAAGCTTTGAGACCAAGACCAATAATTCATGAATTTGGTCTAGGATGGGTTTGTTATCAAACATAGTGAATTCATAATATTTGAACATTAAAAATTTATCGGTACCTCTTTTTTCCGTTGTGTACTTGTGTTCAAGTGCTTCCCAAATTTCATTTGGAGATTGAATGTGTGCATACAGGTCATATAAACGATCAAATAATGTGCCCAAGATGTGTCCTCGACATACCAATTCATCTTCTTCACGCTTCTTTCGATCGGCAACTATATTGTCCGAGTCTTTGTCACTTGGTTCACAAATAGGCTCCAATTTCGGGTCCAACACATATATGACATTTAGAACAGTAAGCATGAAACGCATCTTGTCCTTCCATCGGGTGAAATTTGATCTATCAAATTTGTCTAACTTGTAGACATCTTGATTGATAATCTTCAAAGCCATGTTATCAGATTTGTTATCCATGACGAAAATAACACTTTAAGATTGTTAGAGTAAATATAGAAATATAGAGAATAATCCGAATGATGACTTTGAGGTACGATTTGAATCGTTTCCTTAAAGTGTTATTTGCTCCCACTCGAATGAATTTGCTAAAGGGTTCTTGGCAAATCACTTTCAGGATACAACAAAGTATAAAATACTCGATTAACAAAACCGAATTATATTCCCTTAGAAATAACTAGAAAGAAATTGTATGAATATGATGAAGAGAGAAAAGAGAGCAAAAAAATTATGTAGACAACAAATTTCTAAATTAATGAATTCTCTTCTACTAATGTTACCCATATATATAGAGAGAATTGCACCTTTTAGACATATCCTTTGGTTTTGAGTGTGTCATCTCACTATGAGATACAACTAAACATTGCAGCAATGTTTATGATAGATATGTCTGATACAAGAAGTCAATTATCAATAATTACGTCTATTAGAAAGAGAATGCATCTGTTCGGATGCATCATGCTTTTTCTGCGAAACCGTAAAAGGTGCAGCAGTTTTCAATCTCCAAAGTATATGATTGTTGGGTGACTGGCCCAACTCCATCTTCTGACAATCAGCCACACTCATATATATATATATATTATATTCTTAAAATATTCAACAACATTGTCATTCAATGTCAATCCAAGATACATTAAGTATACACCCTGCAAGAACAGTGATGGATAGGAAAGAATCCACGGGCCTAGTGACTCTATGCATGAAATCCAAATATCTGGATAGATCTCACGATAGTAATAGCAATGCAACCTACAATGATGGATTAGACTGTGATAGAGAACTAAAATATTACGATAAAACAGGAACTTTATAAAATCATGTCAGTAATTTTCTTTGCTTCTTAATTATAAGGCCAAGTCGAAATATCCTACACTTTCGATATCATATCTTACATCATTTGCTCTAGTATGGTTATCTTGTTCAGTGATTCCACACGAGGTCCCTTAGTTTGTTTCTTCTTTTCAGAGTCTAATTGTCTACGAGTAGGTTCTAGCCTGCTGCAAATGTGTTAGCAACAGATATAAATTCTTGTAGTACTGCTTTTAACATAAAACCGAGCAATTCAAAGAGATAAACCAATGCAAGCAAAACATGAATTAAGTGACGGAATTATTTGTGATGCCCAAAAATTCATCACTTTTTGGTAAAATAAATGACCCATTTCAAAAAAAGGGTCACATAAAGCGTTTCATGGTGGATGAATTATTTTTAAGATTTTATTTGACACATAATTTCAAATTCATTACAAATTGTGTGCTAGAAATTTTTGTGCCCAATTAATTATTGGGAGTTTTAACGAAAAATCAGCGGTATTGTTCACTTTAACGAAAAATCATATTTTTACACTAAAAAGTCAAACATGTACTATTCACTTTACCCTTTATTTTGTCTTTATCGTTAAAACTCAAAGTTTTCAAGCTCTTTTCATAATTTTCCTTTAATTATTAACTGGTAACGAAAGTAGAGGATTCGCCACATAACATGTACAAAACTATTGCGCTAGAGTCAAGAATAAAAATATAAAAAAACTAAAGTAATTAAAATCAAAACCTCAAATTGTGAAAACTCACTTTTTGCACTGCTCTCTCACCCCCACGCCTACTCTCAGTTGTTCAGCGGTCCTCGACTCCGGTGGTAGAAGCTGGTGTCTGCAACTACCAGTCCGATCACCATTCTTGTCTCCGTCAACCATGGTGGTCGGCAGTGGCTTTAGCGACCACACCTTGGATCCCTTGGGTTTCTCCTGAGCAATCAAGTGTTTATACTCTAATGCTCTTACGACACGCCTGATGTCCGGTGGTAGAAGCTGGTGTCTGCAACTACCAGTCCGATCACCATTCTTGTCTCCGTCAACCATGGTGGTCGGCAGTGGCTTTGGCGACCACACCTTGGATCCCTTGGGTTTCTCCTCTTTCAAAACTCCTATCCCAACAGTCAATGAATGATTTAGATTCAGAAATGAAACAGATAATGGAATAAACAAAAATAATCCCATAAAAAAATAAAAAATAAAAATTGAGGGGAACATGTTTACCTGATAGAGGCATTCCGGCGGTGGAGCAAAGACTGTAGCAATGATGGTGATTAGGGTTCTCAGACTCAGAGGATGTTAAAATGGGCAGCAGCAGCAGCAGGCTAAGGCGGTGACTCGCGAGCTGCTTTTGCTGTTGAAAAATCCACTTATGAGCTCTGAACCTTCAGTTCTCCACTACAACAAAAATAGGCTAAGAACACAATTGATACGTGCCCTTTGCATTTTCATTGAGCACAAATATATATTGGTGCTCTTAGATGTCAATGAACACAAAACTATCACAAATGTGCTTTTTGAACAAAAAGGCACATTAGTTAGTGTCTAAACAAAAATGTATTTGTGCCTATTAAAATTTGAACACAAAAGTTTGTGTCACTATTTATGGATATCTGTAATACTAATTTTTTTTATTAATTTACAAAAACACAAAACACATTTTCGTGCCCTCTAATTTAATATATTTAAATCATTTGATTTATAGGCACAATGTTCGTGTCTTCCTTCACCAGTCTAGACACCAATCATATTTTAGTTTTAGTTTTTATTGATCAAGGTGCCCCACACACACACACGTTTCATCACCATCACCTGGCAGATCCACTATTTGGATCAAGTGGATGTTTTCTAAATTTATTTTCCTATTCGATATGTTATGATGTCAAATTACAGGGCTTTACCAATTGGATCAGTTCTTGAAAAAATTACGGAGTCGAAATTTATTCGAATAAAAGTCAACAAACCAATAAAAATTTGTTTGTCAGCTTTTTTTGTCTTTACATTTAGCACACACAAAAAGTTAGATTATAAAATTGTGGTAAATAATGGTATGGAGTTGTTTAATGCTATGCAATGTTCTAGTCTCAAAATAGGCGGAGTTATGACTGAAGAACTACATTGGTCTGCAACACCAAATTTCAGGGACTACATTAATAGATTTTCAATTTCAGGGACCATCTTGATTGGGTGGGTCGATTTCAGGGATCATTTGTGATAAAAACCCTTTTAATAATTATAAAATCATTTGTATGACACCGATGTTAGAAATTGTGTCCAGTAAATATTAATAAATAATAAATCACTCTATAGCAAAATAATATATTGGTACAATTATGGATTTGTGCATGTATTCTAGTATAATATGTTTTCACTCCTTTACTATTTGTAAAGGACACAATTATTTATTTTTTTATTACTTTCTCATGAAACCAGCCCCACCCGCACCCATAATTTCTTTTAAAACCGCCTATTTTTTACCAGTCGGTCCAGCCCCTCTCCCTTCTCATATGTTTGAAATTATCTTCTTTATGTAGAATTGGAGTGTGTGCCACTGAGGCCCACACCTCTGTTCCCTTCCTATGATCCCTCTTCTATCGGTCTCATTCTGCTCTCAGTCGAACTCCCTCACTTTTCTCTCATTTTTTCCCCTTATCCTGATCTCTCTCTAGTCTCTTTTCCCCGAGCCACACAACTATTAACCACCACCTTCTCCGACGACTTTAAACACCAAACCACCACCATCCTCGTCTCCAAACACGGGACTAGTGCCCAAACCCTTGACTCGAACCTCAAATCGGAGAACCAGCGATGTCTCGAACCCGAGAGAATTCCGGCGAGTTCATCGCCTTCCCGACCAAGGTAAGGTCTGTAACTACCTTCGGTTAATTCCTTTGATGTTCTAAGTCGATTTCTGGCTTTGCATGAGAAATTTTCCACCACGTTTGCGAGATTGAACGAAGAACTAACGATCTCCACTATTCTGGTGAGTTGCAGGCTTTCCAAGCTTTTCCCGCCCAAATCTCGTTGAAGACGGTGATATTGATACCATAAACAAACTCCTCACAGTCCTAGGGACCAGATTCGAGCTTTGTTGGTCGAATCTGTCATGGATTCGTAGAGACCCAAACTGACCGTGACTTTCAAGCCTTTTTCCAGCCACCTCCGGCCATCCTTTGGCCTCAATTTAGGTAAAATCGAACTCCTCTTAGTCCCAGCTTCATTTTGATATATTGTGTGTTACGAATGGTTGATATTTGACGTTGATCTGCTTCTGTTTCGAATCCGACTAATAGGTATTGATTCATAACCTTTGAATTTGGGTTTCATTTCGTAACCTTGGCAGAAAAGGTCCAGATTCCACATAGACCGTCTAATTAATTTGTTTGTGAAATAGCAAAGATGGGGTCTATTCTTATGTATTAAGATTATCTTGTTTTACATTACTATAATCATTGAATTATTGAGTTTACTAATGTTGTTGTGTAGGAGGATAGGGAAAAACTATTTGAAGGAATACTTAAAACAGAAATGGAAGATCTTCTCCAGATAATCATCTTCATTAATTCGTTTATGGAGCAGCAGAGATTCGATGAGGTGCAAGGCTTGCTGGGGAAGATGCATCTGTCCAAAAATGTCTGCATTCAAGTACTTTTTGCATTAGAGATGAAATATGTAACATTACACTATGTTTGTGAGATTGAGAATGTATTGTAGGCTTTGTACATTTTATGAAAATTAAAAATAAAAAAATAATAAAAAAAAACCTTAATTTCAGTTTCAATTTTTCAAATTGTGAATTTTTTTTTAAATATTTAATGCATGCAGGCACAATTACATTATAAGTGCTAACATGCTCGGAAAAGATTGTCTGACAACTTTGTCAGAACAGAGGCACAAAACACCATTTTTTTGTGCTGACATCATGAGCACATAACTCAGTATTGTGCCCTTTTAGCAAAGGTAACGCCCATAGAGGGCACAGACACAAAGATAGTTGCTGCATTGTTGCTATTGATCTATGGGCACAATTGCTAGTGTTTTTTGGCCTCAAAGGGCACTGATAATTTATTGTGTGCAGTGCTTATTTTGTTGTAGTGCTCACTCCCGCTTTATATGCTTGTGAGTCAGTGAAAAGGTGTCGAAGCTGATATGATCACTGTCAGTCACGTTTCGTTCTGTCATGGCCTAGTATGCCTGACGTTTTTTGCTTTTGGACGTTTTATTGAAAGAAAGCATTTTTGTTCACCATAAAAAATTATGGTATATGCTAACCATACACTTAATCAATTGACATGTGTCATTTCACTTAATTCTAGTTAACTTTCACATTAAATGTTAATTTTTCAATTTTGAAAAAAATTAACCAATATTAAATGAAATAACACGTGTCAATTGATTTGGTGTACCATATTTTATGGTGGTGAGCAAAAATGCTCCCTTATTGAAGCGCCGATTTGTCAAATAATCATCTCACACACAAAAACCTCATTGATAATAATGTGTTTGAATGCGCTTTGAAAATGATTGAATACTCTTTTTAATGAATGTTTTTACCCTTTCTTTGCCCCTAATTGTCAATTCTTCCAAAATTAAACCCAAAAACACTTTAACCAAAAACGTTTTTCAGTCAGTTTAAAAGTGCTTCCAAACATGCACAATGTTGATGCATAAAATCGGTGAAGACTTTGGAACAACGTAAAGTGTCAAGTTTGTGACCTTCGCTTGGTTGTTCCGGTCATCTAGTGATGATGATGTGTAAAGAGGTAGAGATAGGGAAGCAAACACAAGATGTACGTGGTTTGCCCTAAGCCTGGCTACGTTTACAGAGTAGAGGAGTTCTCATTAATAGTGGTTTACACAAATACATAGGTTTAAGCATAATTATCATTAGTGGGTTCTAATGACTAGTTTAAGTACAATAATGACATTAGGGATTAATTGTAGGAGAATGGTCTCCTTTTATAGTTGAAGAGTCTTTAGCTTTTGTTTGCGGTCGATGTGGGACTCGATGAGCTTTATTATGATGTTGACATGTGTCGCACTGTGATTGATATCCTGGTTGGAGGAAAACTCTTATGTTTCGGCAGGGGTGCCTCAGCATGAACCCCTCAGTGAGCCCT